GATTAAGCTGTAATGCTAAATCTAATAAAAAGCTTTATGATTTAATATAAGAATTGGTATTTATAATCCTAAATAACATTAACTACATTTCTGATTTTAGTACAACAGCATTATAATGATAAAATTATCTTGCATGTAAAAATATAAACTGATCATTGTCGAAATCAATAACTTAATCGAATTACCCGAAAAATCATTCAGCCAATTTTTATCAAATGCCCCAAGTATTCGAACTCAGACTAATCTGTAAACTTCAGACCAGACCCGGACCAGACTTAGACCTGATTAAAAAGTTTGAATATAAAAGTCTGAGTCTGGTCCAAAAATCAGACTAGACTCAAATTTGACTAAAGTCTGGTTCGAGTCTGGTCCGTAGAAGCACTATTCATACTCCAGTTTTAAATATTATCTCTACTTTTAATATTACCTGAAGTATATATTCTTTATAAATAATGACATTGTAAAGACATGTTATTAGCAAAAGAACGTTTAGGATTTAGCTTAAGAGTTTTAGCTTTATAGAAGTAATATCTGATGTATTAACTATTGATTCTGTATTAGAGCTTTTAATTGCTTTCTCAATCCTCTTAAGAGTATTAGAAACTTTTTTCTTAGCAACTTTGATGTCTTCTGCTGAAATTAACTCAAGTGTTGCTCCAGTACTAGCAATAAGACTGCATAGAATTTCTGGAAAATATTTGGCTGATAAGCATCTCTGATATTCGATCTTAATATAGATCTCTATTGAGTCAAGAGTATAACAATTGGCAATTTTGCTTTATTCGTGATATCCTTTTATAGCAGTTGGTAAATCTGCTGGTCTTAAAACTGAAAGCTTTCATGAATAAGATCATGATTCAGTTCTTTAAAAATACCAGGCTTTTTACTATTATAAAAAGAAATAATATGATATGGACAATTACGAATTCGATAAAGCATCTGAGTAAATGCTTTAGTATGCACTTCTATATTAATATTACTAATTGCTATAAATGTATTAAAATATTTAGGAATTTCGAAGAAGATTCTTAACTTCATAGTGCTTGTATAGATTACACAATCAAGACTACTCCAGGTAGTATTAATATCGGCAAAGTCATCTTAGCACTGTTTTTTATCTATTTAGCCAAAATAGACTTGTATCAAAATAAATAAACTATCAGATTTTTGCAATCTAGATGCTTGATTAGCTAATACCCAAGCCTTTTGCAAAAGATTATTAAAAAGACAACACACCTACCTTCTTGCAACATTAAAAGGCCTTTATGTATAGCCTCTGATCCTTTGTCTAAATCATAAAGAATTTTTATAGACTCACCTTTATATAGCTGATACTTATTATCAAAAACTCAAACGGTTTCACCCTGATATTGTCTTAAGAAAATAAGTATACTTTGATTAGCAAATACATCCATAGCAACCACATGAATAGCTGACTTTAACAAATTCTGCATAGCATTTTCAGATTCTCATATATAGATTCCACTTGCTATTTGATACATAATACTATTTGCTTTATCTAAAATAACTACATAAGAATGACCCTCATAAAGATTAAGACAATATATACTTTCAACCTGGACAATGATAATATCCCAGTCACATATAGCTAAATTATTTTCATTTTTTTGATAATAATATACGTGAAGTCCTGAATTTTGTAATACTTTAACTTTACCTTTAGTTTCATCACTAAGAGTTTTAAGATATGAAACCAGTTAAAGCAAGGTAAATTTGCTTTGCTTTTGGCTAAAGAATCAAGAATCTTTCTTAAAGTTTTTGTTTTTTTACTGGCAACAAGTAATTGAATTAGAGTTGTAGTGGGTTCCTCATTTATAAAATTTGGATAAGCTTTGGGGCATCTTTCATTCTCTAATATTAATATTTTTTCTAGATAAATCTACAAGTGATCATAGAGATTTTGTGATATTAACCAATCTTTCATTTAATCTCTACTTAGGCTTTTCTTTTAACTCAACTTTGTCTAATACTTTATTAAAGTTAAGGCTTTTGTACTCTGGCTTGTACTGTTTTTGCCAATAGTATTTGAGTATAAAATATCTATTTTTTCAAATAAATCTATAAAGTTGATCTTTATCATGTTTAATACCACATATAGAGCATTTTTTAACAGATTGTACTTGAAAGTTAATATATCTCTTCTCAATTTTTCTAATCTGAAGCCATCTATATTTTTTAATAATTAGATTGGTATCTTTATTCAAAATATTTTCATCATTAATAAGTTGGGATTTCTTTTTTACTAGCTCTTCTGAAGAAAAGGTTCGTGGCCAGATTTCTAAATAATTTTCTTTAGACTAAACCAGATAATTATATAAATTTTTAAATCCCTTGTTAACAGAAGAAATAGCAAGTCTTTTTATATATCCTTCTTTTGATGATTCAAAAAGTTAAAGACTAAAACATGATTTGAGAAAACCAACATCAATAAACTTTGAATAAGGTTTTCCAACTAAATTCAATAACTTTTTCAGTAAAGCCTTTAAGTTTTCTATAATCTATGAATTGGACCCGAGGATAAATAATATACTAGCTATGCTTTTCAGCATTTGATGAGCTTGTTAAAGCAAAAGAATTTAATAAAGGCATACAATCTGGTATTAGGCTTAATGTATCTATACAAGCAACCAAAATTTGAGACATCAAATCTCCACAAATAATTTTTTCACTATCTAGAGAAGGAAGTTCAAAATTATTTTGATCAGACTTTTGCTTTGCATCAATATCAATAATCAAACGAAGAGGTTGATTTCTATCAATATATTCATAGGTATCAAGTATTCTATAAATTTTAGAAAGATAGTCAATTACTATATAATATTTTCCTGCTACTCGAATTATATATTGAGAATAAAGTTCTTTGAGTTGATATGCATCTAAAAGCACAGTATCATTTTTATTAGCTGAGCTAGCATGACTATTGAATAGAAGCCAGTATTTATAATATATATGTTCTCTATAGCCAGATTTATAGTCAAGATCTGTTAAACTTTTAAAAATTATTT